GAGCCGCCGATGAGGACGCGAACGAGCCAGAACCAGGACCGGAAGCTGATCCCGAGCAGGCGCCCGAGTCTGCCTCCAAACTGAGCATGTGCGGCTCAGTGTGTTCCTCCCCCGGCAGCTGCTAGCGCCACATCGCCTCACAGTGACGATGGCAGCTCTCTCTGGCGGCTGCGGTGTTTGTGCCATGCCAACAAATACCTTCTCACCTCTCTCTCATGTCGTAGCCTACAGCGGAGGAAAATGACAGCGGGGCAACTTGGCGCACAGCAGCAGCTCCCATAACGGTTCCCATCATTTACGCCCCCCGCCCCCCATAGCATCTTTTTGGTAAGGCATGAATGAAGTGGGATCCCAGAGAGTCCCTGCCTATTGTACCTACCGCCCTAGAGTAAGCTCCAACTTCTATGCAATGTTACAGTATAGCATGACAAAATAATAAGGTATCACTTACTAGGAGGTGTCGTTCCATAAGCAGAGAGCCACACGAGCATGATGACATCCCGAGCAATAGCAGTCTTCGGCTTTTTGAATAAGGTTAGTGGTTTTGGTGGAGGTGCCTCCCTTTATTATCCCTGTTCCAGTTCCGATGGGGGACGACTGAATTATTCAGCACACGAAGGCACTCGGTTTATTTTATTGCCTGTGTCTTCAGTTCACGCTTCCCCCCCCCTTTCATGTGATGTGTGCCCTAATTTGAAACATTTTTTTCCTCCTGGAGCGCCTTCCTCTTGTTGCAACACCTTCCTGTGGTACATTTCCAGTAAGTGTTGATGGCTGTCTGCAGTCAGCAAAGACAGTGTGACTGGTTTCATGTTGTAAACCTGTTTAAAGTTGTGCCTGTCGATGATGATCGGTATTTGTTAATCACACCGTAGACATGGATGTGTTATAGGGCAGGTTTTCCTCTTTTAAGTCTTAACCAGCTAGCTGTTTTTTCTTTTTTCCCCTTCAGGCCTTTTTAGGAGGAGAAAGTACTGAAGTTAAAATCAGTCCAGCAATCAGAATGAAAAGTTGTGCTTGTCACTGTGTCCAAAATGCTTACGAAGATTTAGTATTTTAGCCCTGCACCAAGCTCTGACCCAAAGAGGGTTCTGAAACTCAGCTCAATGCCAACAATGGCATCCTTTACAAATCTATAAGAAAGCTCTGTTTGCTTTACTAGACTTCATCTTGTTAAGTGCTTAGTTTAGGATAAAGATCATCTCCCTGTAGAGGTTGGTTTGGGGTAGCTGTGTCCTGTCGGTACGTCAAACTGCATAGATGAGCTACTCTTTGATTGTCGTAGTGAGAGTGGTACATTTTAGGGTGGCGCCGTTAATCTCAGTCTGAGAATATGTAGCAAAAGACCACCTTAAAAACCCGAAGGCCTAACAAATTGAAAAACCGTGTAAATAGCATACAGTGTAGGTAATTAAACTGACCACAGTTTTATGTGGGACTGCTAACTCGACGTGTAAACTTAAGGAAGAGCTGTGTGAAGCTTCACACCACTTCATCCCGCTCTTCTTTCCAAGTGTGCAGGCACAACTTGTAGGCAATATATGCCAAAGCTTTTCTACCATTTGCAACCATTTCTAAGGAACTTTGAGTGTGTGAATGTATGTCTCTTTATCCCTCTGATAACATAAAGTCAGTTATTTCTGCAAGTGAAGACATCGTAATTCATACAATCATAATGTGATGATGTGCAAACTGTCTATTTCAGGTAATGCATCTTGGGAAATACACCTGTTTGCTGTCTTGATGCACCAGTAAAGCTGTTTACCCCGGCAGCTTTGACTGACCTTTGGGGGTTGGAGCCACAATTTAATGTTGCACTCAGTTAATTTTGTGCCATAGCCTGCTGTAATGTTAATTGTGAGGTGCAGACAGAACAGTGTTGGCCTAAGTGCGTCTCTGCACTCCCACTCTGCTCAGTCAACGAATGGTCTAGCTTCCACAGTGTAATTAGTAGACATGAGTGAAATATCACATGAACAGGTAAAACAGTATTAGCTACAATATTTGCTTCACTCTTTCTTTACTTTTGCCTAAACAGCCAACAGAAACAGTTAATGCCCAGCTATTAACCAACTTGATGACTGAAGCATTTGTATTTTTAAAAAAAAAGTTCTTGTGCCCAACAGGGGGATTAATTTAGGCCCAGTGGCTTTCCGGGGAAGATCGATACTCATGTCTTGGTTTTAAATAAAGAGCTAGAGTCAGGTAGTGATTAGCCTAGCTTAACATAAAGAGTAGCCACAGGGCAAAACACCTTACCAAAACCTGTAAAAGCTTCGAAGTTAGCATTTGTCTTGTGTGATTAATTCTTATATAAATATTAATGTAGTGTTAATGTGCTCTGCTGGTTAAACAGCTAGATGTAGTGAATGAGTGGTCCTTAAAGGATGGATAAAACATTCAACATGTAGCTACACCACTAACTGGGCTGCTGAACCACCAATGGTTTGATTTAGTTTCCAGTTTGAAACATCGCATGCAGGTGGATCTGTACAGCAGGCTGTGGAGGGATTTCGGGTTGATGGTCATGTGACAGGCAAGAGTTGTGATTTTGCTGTCAGGGCAGCTCTAGCTTTGTAACGTCTTTCTGTTTTTAAAGCTACAAATAAGAACTTGATAAATTCTGTGTTAATGTTCTTTCAGTGTTATAATGTGAGAGTTGCCTAGTAACAGATTGTTCTAACATAATTATGAAAAAAAGCCAAACTCTGATACATTTTATTCAAGTAACTTGATAGTAAAGTGTTACCAGTTGACATGTTTCAAATGGAAACTTGAATATCAATCTAACATGAAATATAAAGCACACAGAGCTCCGTATAGTCTACTGTAATAATACATAGCTCATTAGTTCAGGTATGGGCTTCTTCACTATTAGTTTCATATGACAGATTGATGTGTTAGCCTAGCTCACAGTGAATATTTTTTCCAGGAGCTGAGTCGTTTTACTACAGTTTCGCACATGCAGGGTTGAAAAATATTTACAGTGTTCACAGTAACTCTGATATGATGTGAACATAGCATTAACCTCTATCAAAAGAGACAAAAGACAGTATCATATTTGGCTTATGACATGTTTGCTCTTAGCTAGCTTGCTAACATTAGACGCTAGGATACGGAGACTTGTGATTACAGCTTTTTCACACCAGCCTTTTTAATATGAAATACCAGGTAAACATGTTCTACAAATGACATTAATGAAGGTTCTGTTATTTTAACTTTGAAAAGCTTTAATTAATGTGGTAAGTTGACCTATGTTTATTTAGCATTTTATGTCAAAATGGCTGCTGTGTAGTCACCATAGCTAATTTTAAGCTAACCTAATAGCTGATACTTTCAAAACGCAGGCTGACTGCTTGATAAAGTTTTTTTTTTTAATAAAATGGATCTATTATTAAGTGCTTGTTGAATTTTTAAACCTCCAATAAAACTCAGACAAGTAGGAAGTTGATAAAATTACGTAACTTCCACTGTTAAGCTAGGCTAACGGTTCCCCAGCTCTAGCTGTACAGTTGACGCTCAAACGTGACAGATGCTTTGACCTTGTTCCTAAACGGAAAGCAAATAGGTGTGTTTCCCAAAAGTAAGCTGTTTCTTTAAAACACTACATTATGATTAGATTAAGAAGCTTTCTTAAAGAGACATGAAATGTTATCTTCCAAGTCTGCCAAAACGTGTGAGAAATTGAATAGTCTTGAGCCCTGTGCTTTTATTTTTGCATGTACCTTTACAGTATAAGCCTGTTTTTTGCCAAAGCCTGGAGCTTGAGCCCTAGCGGCTGATTTGTGCATGCACAAGCTTTTGGTAATAGCATACCTCGACGCTCACCTGATTATCGACACAGTCCAAAATCAGAGTATAACCGGCCTGCGTGACTGTTTACTTTAAGCTGTACAAATCGTATAATCCCAGTGTTACATGGACGGCATGATATTTTAGATGATATGCAGTACCTTTTTGACATCCTGTAGGTTGTCTTAATGCTTTGTTCCAAGTATACAGGTTCGTACCCTCATGGTGAGTGGAATGAGGTCAGCAGCTGTGTGTCTGTTGTGGATTAAGTGTCGCATTGTTGTCTCTGCAGCAGAAGATGAAGATTTGAAACTGGGGCATGTTTTCACTTCACCTCAATACAGAAATTGCTGCATTAAAAAAGAAAAAGAAAAAAAAAACAAAACAAAACTGATTGTCTCCATTTGTGGTTATTTCTCAGACTCTGTCGGCACAGCATCAGACTCACCGTAGGCCTGAGGAGCGTGTGGAAAAATGTGTTAATTATGTAAATGGAAAATATTTGATTTTAACAGTTGATTTAGGCGCAACTTTTCTCAAAGTTACACCAAACTAATCTAGACTTTCGTTCCTTGATATCAGTGATCATTCCTACTTGGATCGTGCTTGCAAACCCTCCCGACATATTTCTTCATGTATTAATGTTCTGCGTTTTAAAACGAGCCATCGTGCTATAGGGTTTGACCAGCAGCAGCATGTCTCAACCATTTTCTCACCGACTCTTTTGAGATTCTGTAGGTGTTTTAAGTCTGTGGTTACACTTTGAAACTCAGTGCCCCGTCGAGAAAAGAAATCAAGAAGAAAAATGTGATCCATGCCACTCGTTTCCTCCCTTATGATCCTACTTTGCATAATGTTCTTGTGCTGCAGGATTTTTACAGGGAATCAGTAAAAGGCCTTGTTGCTGAAACGGAAACTGCTCCGTGTGTTCAGAAAACATGCTGCTTCAATCGCTTTGATAATGAAAATAAATCTCCTTCCAGTAATTTGGTGTGTGTGTCATTTTTACCCAAATGCAGCTTTAATGGCAGTTTGTTTGCAGACAGTAGGGGGCAGTGAAGAGCTGGGGCATATACTGGGTGAACAGAGGCGTCCCCGGTGAACTGATCTCTAAATAGCAGTGTACAGTGAAGAGGAATCTAGGACTGACTAGAATAGAGACAAGGCTGTCACAGGATTTGTAAGTATACATAATGCAGAGGCTTGGCTTTGTTCAAAACAATTTTATTTTTGTATGATACAAACTTCATATGGAAAAATATAGAATAAATGCATAGACAGTTTCTCTTTAACAAGGAAATTCAAAGTCCACCCTATATGGATGTCTGCTTGGCTCAGGACTGGCTTCTCTCCACTGGATCTTCAAGGATGTCCACAGCTGTCTTTCCCACATTGTCCATCAGGTGGCGCCACTTTGGGGCCTCAATGGCATCCAGAAGAGCAGCCAGCTCAACCTCCAACTTTTCAACTGTGTCCTCCACTTGCTGCAGGAAGCGTGAGACATGCGTGGTTGACAAATAAATAATACATTAATAAGTTGTAGTATGAATAATAGAATCATCACCGATGAATAATGAATCTGAATGAATAAAACAGTTTCCCAAAACAGCTGGTAACGCAAGGTAAGGTCTGAGTAGGACTGGGGTTTGCTGGATGAGAGGAATGTAGAGATCTGGGGTAGATCACTAGTGTATTAATAAAGTTATGAAAAAAATATATTTTAAAGGAAATGTTGAGGAATATTGGGCATTCATTCTGTCAAAACCAAGGAGGGGGGGGACTTCCAAACCCTGATGGTTTCAAACCACTGAGGCCTAAATGAGGTTAGATTAGAAACTACACCTTCTCCACTACGTCCAGGCGGTGGTGAAGATTCGTGTGCTCCTGACAGGCGCTTGAACGCACCGCTCGAGGCAGAAGGTGGGGCTCAGGACCTGAAAACACATTAGATGTATACTCAGTGTTACAGATGCACAGTATAAGCAAACAAGATGTAATAATGAATCGTGAAAGGTACTCGTGCTTTAATAATATGCTGATTTTAACACAGTATGAGAGACGAGAATAAGGAGATGTATTTATTCCTGTGAGCTTAACAAAACTTTAGTCACACACTAAAGGAACTGCTCCAGTATGGGATGTTAAAGAGAGAGGTCAGATTATTGCTGAGGTATAGAAGTTAACATCAGTGCCTTTGTCACGCCACAATGCAGCCAGCTGATTAGGAGAGCTGAACTAAAAGACGGATCACTCGTCTGTTTTATATCAGCTCACAGTTGTGTAATCCCAGGCTCACTGTATTCACGCAGGATTGGAGGTAGATTAGAACAATGCAACTGCATGCAAAGATAACGCAAAAGCAGGCATGTTTTTACAGGACCACCATGGTGGCATGCAGCTGCTGGTCACAGTTTAATTATGCACGGGAAGCATATCATTTAAACATAGCAGTGCATAGCCATAAGATATGAAATCTGCCATTTACCTACAACTCTGGGCTTAATAGGGCTGTTATCCCCCCAAAGCATGAATACATTTAAAAAATAGAGCAAGCCTCAAATAATAACCACATGGGTGTGGTTCAAACTGAATATTCTTGCCAACATACTGTAGCTTTACGAAGAATAATGTACAAACTCTTGCCAATTGTTTCTATCATCATTGTAACCACTAAAATAGCCGTACTCCATCAAGTACGGCTATTTTAGTGGTAAACACTAAAATAGGGTAAACAATAGAGTTCGTATCTTGTGGCCACGCATTACTAAGATGTTGCCACAGTGCCTTATTAACTTGTGGTCAGGACTTTATTATCACATTCTCATGTATTACTAACTCGTGGTGAAGCAAAATTTTGTGGCTAACCACTAATATTTTTTCCATCCACGCCACCAAAAAGGCTCTGGATTTGTTAGCTTGAGTGGCAGCTCGGGGCTTTGTCAAACTGTTTCAAAAACCGAGAGAGAAGAGGAGTTAAATACAACAAGACTGGAGGGAAATATGAGAAGAAGAAGAGTTCATGGTGAGGTGAATTAGTCTAAGGACAAAAAACACTCCCAAACTGGCGTCTGTGCTAGCTAGCTAGCATCTATCATCATCTCTACATTTGTCTCACTGAGTGTTTGAGGATGAAAATGTATTTCCTGCTCTGTCTGAGAGGTTTTAGAGGAGCTTGGGGCTGATTTTGTTACCTTCAGACAAAGCCAGTTTAATTATTTCTTATGTTTTCCACTATTTCTATCAAGCTAAGCTAAACAACTGACTGTAGTTTGAAGTTTTCTTACTACAATGATCGTACCATATGAATGTATATGCATCTACAGTCACGAAAGTCGGTTTTGTTTGACTAAACACTAAAAACATGGTGACCAATTAGAACTGAAGTCCTTATATATCATAGACATACAGCGTAACAAACGATAATTCTTTCTAGTCAAGCTGAAGATGTTTTTGACAAACAGGACTTAAACCCTACGCCAAGTACTCCTAAAACTATGTGAAACCTTTCATTTTTAATTTTTTGTGTTGTTTCTGTGCCGTTAACATTCATATTATAGAGAATATTAATATATTGCAAATATAAATGAATTATTCTGAAGGTTAAATAATCAGCCTGCAGATAAAACCTTCAGATTGCCTGCAAACATGTGAATCCAGTAAGGTACCATGTGTACTATGAATGCAATTTTAAGTTATTATTATTTAAGTTAGTTAAGATGGGTGCTGTGTCCCTAAGCCCCATGAATGTGTCTTTTAAATCTATATGTTAAATGCATGCAGCGTTTGGCCATGCAAACATAACGGTACTCCATGTAAACAAGCTCAAGAATTACACGTTGGGTTTAGTTTGTCTTTAAAATTGAAAAGGTTTCTGTGCAGATTGACTTTAGCTTGCAAAGAAAACAAATAAATATCAAAGTATATATTATTGTTACATGTCCTTATAAAGAAACAAGTCTTTGCCATCTGATGTACGTCTTTAATGTAGAGCTGAAAACTAACCAGAGGAAATGTGCTTTTAGCTTATGTTGCTTATCTGCTCGTTTCCAAATGCAATGCTCCTTTTAACAGTTTGTATTTTCTTGAATTATGTGACTCTTTAGTTAAACAGCAGCCGATTGATCAGGCGTACTTGAAGGCCACAGTTAGTATGCTGAGGAGACAGCCGTGATGCTTGGTGTTAATTCGCTTCAGCAGGCCAGAGAGGGCCACATGCATTGTCCCAGGCATTTCCCTTCTCACACTTAAGTTTCCAATTATCTGTTTCTCTTTGAAGCCCGGGTATTTGGGGGACGCTTCCGTTCACTTGCAGCTCTCTGCTTCTTTTTTTAACGTCTTCTTATCGGCGACAGGCCAAGCTTCCCTTGATAGTATTTATTCTTTATAAAGTGACTGTCTCATCCACTGGCTGAATGCTTGCAGCTGTGAAGTCACTCTCATTTAGAAACAACGAAACACTTGGCGTGAATGTAGACGGCTAAGGCTTGACAGCATGCGCAGTTATTGAGAATTAGTGATCTTTATGAAGTGTTTGGCTGACCCTGACCCCTAACTAAGTATTGTAGTTAGGGGTCAATTAGTAATTTTTTCTTTTGTGGCCAACACACAAAGAGTTGTACTCCCTTGTTCAGCTGTACCTGAACATCAAGCTGTCCTGATTTTACCACAGCCTCTCATGGAAACATTTTTACAAGCACCATTATGGTGTCCAGAGAGTGCCAAGTTCAGTACATGCAGGAATCGGGCCAAGAAAGAGCGATGGATGATGGAAGGTACATTAAATTCATCAGGCTTCCCAGCAAGCGGACTAAGCAGATGTCTGCCTCGGTGTGTGCGCCGCAGTGGGGGTTTTTGTTGCACTCGCTCTTGTGTATGAGGACTTGGCAAAGCTCGCTGCTTTGATTTGACAGTGACAGATGAATTATGAAAAGTCTGCAAAAGACATGAAGTTTTCCTACACTGGATCTACACTAAAGAGCCAGATGTGAATTTATCAAAGTGGCGGTTCTCGCTGTTGCATCTCACAACAGCCACAATCTTTTGTTGTAGTGAATGTGCTGCTGGTTTCAAAATCAAAAACAACAGGGGGAAGAAATGGAGGGATCTGGTTGGGAGTGAGGGGGGCTGAAATTCCTCCAAACCGCAGCTGCGCTTCCATCTAAGTGTCAGCGTGTACACAGCGCAGCCTGCTCTTTTAGAGTAAAACTTGCAACGGGGAGCTACATGCTGAAGTTTGTGATGTATGTGGCACCCACTGAGTCTGCCTTTTTTTGCAGATGCGATAAAAAAGGGGCGGATGCGAAATCGCCAGCTTGTGTTAACAAACTGCAAGAAGGCATTTGTTCCTGTTTATGTTGGCATGTGCTTTCAGGCCATCTCGCTGAAGACTGTTTTTCCTCTTTCAGAGCTCTTCCAAGAGGTTAAGAAATGCACATGCACACGTAAACACACATCAAGAAGACACACCACAGGAAAAGCAAACACAGATATGACGATCTAACACAGCACCGTGCTGCAGCTGAGGACAAAGGTCAACTACCTGGTGTGTGTGTTGAGCGTGTTTGTATGTGATGCTTTTCGTGACTCTCTATAGGAGAGCAGGAGTTCAGCTGAGTGTAAAATTGAAAAGTCAATACAGGTCAGAGCTCACTGTTTAACTGACAGCCGCATTACTTTTAAAGTTTCAGCTACGAGTCAGCTGACATTTCAGACCTTTCCTCCTTACTCCACACTGCTGACATCCAAACTGACCCTTTGGTTGGGTAACTTTACCTTCTCCTTTCAGTTTAAAACCTTCTGCAGTACTGGTCTGTTGTAGTAAAGAGAGAGCTGAGCATAAAAGCACAGTTGGTGATTTACCAGTGGACCCATATTTCTACTTCTACCCATGGTCACGAGCTTCTGGCAATGACTGAAGGAATGACATTACTTCCTCTGGGGTGGTGGTACTCTCAAATAGATATAGAGTGAGAAGCTTGGACATTTGGAAAGGGTTCAGAGTAAAACGGCCTCCTGGAAGCCTCCTAGAAGCAGAAGCAGGAGAGAATACATCTCTCGGCTGGCTTGGTCTTGGTATCCCACCAGAAGAGCTGGAGGAGGTGGCTGGGAAGCGGGAGGTCATCCCTGCTTACACGTGAATTATACTTCTGCGTCAGATCTACTTTGTAACAAACACCATAACCAGAACCCCATTTTAACAGCCTTCTATGTAACCTGACATGAACCTCCTGAGAAGTGTAACTACACGCCAGGTCGATGCATACCACAACGACTTGAATGGTGTGGAAGGTTGTGGTGTGGGGATACAAGATTCCGGTTACTGCATAAATTAGGACAGAGATTTCCTGTAGAGGTTTAAATCAAGCTATGGATGGCTGGATGGATGGGCGGATGGCTGCTGGATGGATGGTTGGCTGGATGGATGGATGGCTGATGGATGGAGGGTTGGCTGGATGGATGGCTGATGGATGGATGGATGGATGGTTGGCATGGGTGATGGATGGAAGGATGGCTGCTAGATGGATGAATGGCTGATGGATGGATGGATGATGCATGGCTGCTAGATGGATGGATGGATGTGTGGATGGATGGCTGCTGGATGGATGGTTGGCTTGATGGATGGATGG